TTAAGGTTGAGAGACGGCTCTGCTGATGGAGAAGGAACCTCAGCCAGCTGTTAAACACTAGCACTCGCTACACCTGAGCACATTTCCTCAGCTCTCCACCTGCCTCTGTTTCGGCGACAACGTCCTGATGACCATTCCTCTGCCTGTCCAGTCGTCCTTCAGTTTCGTTCAGGACTCGGAACTCTTCGCCTGCTCTAGCAGGTGTCTCTTGGATGTGTTTCTGATTCTCTTCATCCTGGACCTCTTCACTCGATTATTGATGTCCCCGGGTCAGCTCTGTGGTGGTCGGTGACAGAATGTCTTAGCTGTCAGAATACAGAAGAAGGAATAACAAAGTATAATTAAAACGAGAGAAGTCGATGACTGGTTGGCTTTAGATTTTAAAAGATGAATGGTGACTTTTAAGGTTTCACACCTGGACGAGTGAATGCAGCAGAAATCCAGAACAGAAGTGGCGTTTCAGGAGAGAGTTTGGGTTTAGTTTTGCATGTGTGTAGTTGGAAGAGAGGACAGGCTGCTGCCTAAGTAAGAAGCCAGTCGAAGGGCTGCATTGGAACTCGGAGCACAATTTCCTGCTAAACCTGCAGCGAGATCACAGCTCAGACATAGACTTAATTAATTCCCATGTGACCTGAGCACTTTCTTCATGACAAGATTCCACTCCGATTTCACCCAGTCATCTAGTGAGGCCAGTGATGAGTCAGTGAGTTAGCCCAGGAGAAAAGCAATTTAAAGCACAGTAGACTGCTCAGTGAGTCACTGCGTAATGTCTTCTGTAGTACGAGCTTAGAGTGAACTTATTTATATAACTGGAATTATCTTCTAAGTCGCAAGAATTGGTTTCTTTGAGAATCAAGAAAGTACGGTAGACTTACATGATCCTGAAATTTATTTTGAGCTGTTTGAATTTTTTTCCCCAAGAGGACTATTTGATTTTAGATTAAATTTCAAAGGTTACAAACACATTAAAGATTCTGCTTTTTATTTGTTTTATAATTAGCACTAAAAGTAGTTTAAAATAGTATATTTTCAACTGTCCCATTCTAATAAATTTATGCTATCTCTTTAAAACAATTTATGCTATTTCATTCAAACTAATTTAAAAAATCCTACTCTTATTTGATTATCCTATCTTTATTAGAGAAACATCGTTCCATCTGGTGTATAGAATTATAGTATTATATTTAAAAATCTAAGTATATCTGAGGGAAACTTGTCACAGTCGCTTATTAACTTCTTACTTTAAGGTCTGAAATTACACAAATTAGAATCCTTATAGATTTTAATTAAAGTTCCGAATTGAGTTTTGTGGATTTTTTAAATTTATAATACTGTATAAACCTGTATAATGGTATTTAATGTTTTGTTTGTTTTACAATAACTTTGGGAGCATATAGGCTATTTAATAACTTATGTTCTTTATTTTTAAAGAACCAACAAGAAAACCTTGGGAAAGAACAAATACAATGAATGGCAGCAAGTCACCTGTTATTTCCAGGTATCAGTATTTTTTCTGAGTGTTACAGTCGTATCGGAAAAGAAATTGACATCTACATTTTTACTGTAGAAAAACTGGAATAATCGATTTGAAAGTGTGCAGTGGAGCAAATAAAACACCTGTGATCCTCTGCGCGTGGACAGCCTCCGAGCCCCATTGCGTGTTCGCTAGTGCTTGTCTGCTTTCTGCCCTCTGCTGATTATCATCGGCCAGGCTGTCTGAAATTTTAAGATGGCTTTTATTCCTCCCAATTTTTTTATTTTGAAAAACTCAAAACTGCAGAAAAGTTTAAAGAAAACAGTACAGTGCGAACACCCACATAGCCGTCACCTAAATACAGCACTTACTAACGTTCTGCCACAGTTACTTGAATTCTCTATACAGACACATTTTTTTCCCCCTCTGAATAGTTGGAAAGAAATTTGCAAAAACTCGCTGCTTCACCCTGAATACTTTCCCGTTTTTTTCTAAGAACCAGGTCATTTTCGTGCGTAACCCCAATACTGGTTTGCCTCTCAAGAAATTTAACCCTGAACAATATTACATAATATATTGAAATTTTACCATTAGACCCAAGACATCTTGTATTTTGTAAATGTAATTTTTAAAGAAACTTTATGTTTTAAAGTGAAAAGCAGCTGGAGAGGAAAAACTGCAATATTTAAGAGCAAAATAAAACCTAAAATTTTTAATTCATAAGATAGAAAAGATTTATTGCCCTTTCAGTTGAAATCTGTAATTATAATCAAGTTAGAAAAAATAATGTCCAGGAAAAAGACTAGTTAAGTTATGTTTCTACAAGTGGTCATCTGGCCATGGTCAAGGAAATTCAGTAAGTCTTAGCTGGGCATACTTTATTATCATAACTAAATTTACGTCACAGGCCTTGAACAGGGGTGAAACTTTTTTTTTGGTTTATAAGGCAGTTTAAAGGACTCATTTTTTTCTCAGAAATGAAACATGTTTTTCCTAGAGACTAATAAGTTTTTGCCTTTTTTTGGTGAGCTGTTTGCCGTATTTTTGCCTCATAAGAAGCAAACTTTAGTTATAGAAACCTTATAAAGAAAAATAAAAGGATTTACCTCATATTATCACAAATCTGTATTAGCCTAAATCTAAATTTGTGTTTAATGAGGACATGATTTAAGCTCCACAAAAAAATTGGGCCTTTTGGAACATATAGACACTTTTAGTTTCTAAATGACTGAAAGATGGATGTATTGATTTTAGAGGAAGATGCAGGGCTTGCTTTTGGTGAATGCATTTTTTCAGTAGAGTGTAAAATGGCACCTTTCAAATGTCTCTCAGACACCTAACTGACGTGGCCTGCTAATGCATCTCTAGTAGTTGTTACAGATTTTCTTCAGTAGCACATCACGAAGCTTGATTTATCAAGCACATGTCAGAGAACAGACTGGGATATAGCGTTTGTCCTTTGAAGGCGTAAATTGTGACGGGAAAGATTCTTTCTCCTCTTTGCCTCGACTGTGTGTCCTCCCCTCATTGATAGGGTTCCGTAGTGGGCTTGCCTGCAGCCAAACCCAGTCCCTGGCAAAAGCCACATGTACCTTAGAAGGGACATGGATGAGGCTCTTCAGATGGAATATGTTCCTTGATGCGTTTGGGTTCATTTAGTGAAGGAGAAAATTCTCTTTGAAAGATTTTTCAGACGTCTAAAGGAAGGTTAGTAAGTGTTCTAAAGGTCACCATTTTAAAAGGATTTTTATATAGATTAGTCAAATATTGGTTCTTCTTATCCAGTAGTGCATTGTAACCACGTTCTGATTCTGATAAATAGTTTTCTTCTCTCTTCCCCAAATAAGAATTCTGAAATGTCCAGTTATTTCCTAATCACTCATATACGTTTTGATAGATTTGATTCAGTCACTGATGTGAGTCATACATGTCCCGAAATTTCACTACAAACACTTTAAAACCATAAATGATTTAAAAAATATGTTTAAAAGGCTAAGAACTGTATTGCTTTTCTTTCTAAGCTATCTCCCCGTTCCTTCCGAAAACAAGTACATTGGGCCACTTTGTGTTCTTACTTAAGTGTGCCTCACGCTTGCACACTCGAAATGGGTAGCGAAAGTGTCCATTTCTCTTCTGAATATCTATGTCAAAATTATGTTAGTGGCAAGATGGAGTAATATCCTGTAATATACATGAGATAGTGCATTATGCTATTTTAAGTGAAGAAGTCAGAGTAAAAGTAAGAATGTTGTAGTTAAAAATTCTTTAAACTGCCTGGAATGTAACATTGGAAAGTTTGTGAATTCTTCCTATGGTTTATATTTAGAGCTTACAGATATTGTATTCAAGATAGAAAAATGTTCTTTACATGCCTCCTGAGAAGAGTTAATTTTATATACTTCAGGCCACAATGATTTTTTTATGCTTTTTATTTGCGAGTATAGCTTTGTATTCACTCTCATATAAATGTCTTTGTTTTGTACAAAGTGTCTTTGATACTTATTGAATCTTTGTGTAGGTAGGTTTTACTATGACCACCGTCTATAAAAGTAATGATTTTTAAAATTCTCTATTGAAGTAAAGAGTATCCTCACATAACTAGAATTAGTCTTCAAATGCCCTTTTTATTGAAAAAGAAAACCGATTATTTTAAGGTTAATGGACTCCTTTAGTTCTCATTTTTTTTTTTGTTGGCTATGACTAAAAACCTATAAACAATAACATAATGAGAGTTATTTTTAAAAGTTCTATCGTATACCCCTTTAAATGGCTTTTCCCCTTCATAGACGGGATTCTCCAAGGAAAAATCAGATTGTTTTTGACAACAGGTCCTATGATTCATTACACAGGTATCATCCTGATGTGACTTTGTGATTTGAGACTTCTAAATAACATGTTGAGGATAGGGCTGAGCTTTTTCTACATGGATTGGTAATCACCACGAGAGAGATATTTAGGAAGATTGAACCTGTCATGTTTAGCTTTTTTTAGAATACTTTTTAAAAAAATTTATGAGAGATTTTAATTAGAAAAGTTAATAGTATTTATTTCTCTTCCATCGCTTTATAGTTGAGTTAGGATAACTATAAATGGTAAACATATCAGAAATACTAAAATGGGAGTCTAATGCCACATACTTTATAGCGAGGCTGGTCGTAGCATTTGCATTTTCTGTTAAAGGCTGTTCTCTTTGTAAGTGTGGGAGGGGCTTTCGAAAAGTGGAATAGAAGACCCTAGACTGTTTGATACTCTACCATGGACAGTATTTTAGCCATAATTGTGGGTAGTTTATTCTTTGAGGAGAAGCTCCAATTCCTGGCATCCAACCTAGCTAGCATCTAACATCCTGAGCAGATTATTTGTTTTTTTTTTTTTAGAATGAGTCCTATTATACCATTTTCTTAATTAAGAAAACTTAACATGCGAAACATGCACTTCTTTTTTAATTAAAAAATTGACAACTTTTTAAATTCCTCAAATGCTTAAGCTATATTTAGAGTTAATTTGGCAGAATAGGGATGTAAGTTTTGTACAATTATTTTATAGGTAGGTATCTAGAGGTAACAGTCACATTATAAAGTAATGAAAACCTCTGAGAAACCCTTATATTTCATTATCAATTGTAGTAAACACCCACAGGTTAGGAACGATTGGGATCTACCCATGTTACTGTATACATCTGTTTTTGAAAATATACATGAAGTCTACTGGGAACATGAATTACATAGTATTTGGAGGGAGTGTTTATGACAGTGTAAGGAGTTCTATAATCAGGCTCTATTTGGCCAAATTGTTATTAGCTAAAATTATTTTCATGCCATTGATGATTGAAATATTTGGTAAGTTTATCGGCCAGTTCAGTCTGCATAAAATTATATTACAATTGTAAAATAGTTTTTTTCTGTTTTTTAGGGGGTGATTTAATTTTTAGGACCAAAAGACCTATTTAGGAAATTTGCTAGTACATAGAAAAATAACATTTAACAATGAGATTTTTTTTGTTGTAAATCTTCTCAGTTACTTTGCTGTTTTCACACATAGTGCCTCCTGGGACAGCGTTGACAAACCTTTTTTTAAAAAGTGGTGATTACTTCTTTCCTTCAGTATGAAAAGTTCCCCCCTTTAGTTAATTATGGTGGTGGTGGTGGTGGTGGTGGTGATGGATTGCATGTCAGCATGAACTCAATTTTTTAAAAATTGCATGTTTCCACAGTTGTTTATTATATAACAATAATTTTTTGCATTGTTTAGTAAATATGAATATATTCATAACGTATAGCCCAGTTAAGTAGCTGGCTATAGTTATTCACACGAATTTCAGGGCTGTTTGTCGTAACATGGGAGAAAATAATTCGCTAATTGTACCACTTAAATGTGAAAAGTAAAATAAAAGCAGGATAATAAATGATTTAGTTTTGGAGATCAGGAAGAGACAGCACGGTTGAAAGAAACGCACACCGTGAGGGCCTTTAAGAATATTTGAGGAGACCAGACTCGATACAGAGCACCATGACTTGCAAACTGTGGCCCTCAACGTATTTTAGGTGATTGTGGAATTAAGTGGTCTCAGCAAAGTAAAAAGGTGTATCATCACAAGAGGAAAGGAAATGTGTCATACACATCTTCCTGTCCCCTGCAGTGCCTCCCCAGTGCGAGTGGCTGACTTGCCTCTCGACCACCTCTGAAGTGGTTGCGTATTTGATATTAAAGCAAATTAACCGAGGCCTCATCTTCACAAATACCACCTGTGGGTTTGAGGGTTAATGTGCCTCATAAGATCTGTGCAGTAATAACTTGGGGAAAGTTATTAAACCTATTAAGTCTTGGTTCAGATTTCTTAATGTTGATACTCTAAAAATTGAAAATATGTTATTTGACTGATGGTTTTGATTTTCATTGATTTGTGGCCCTGAAAGAGTGGCCACTTGGGATTCTAAGCCAGGACGTGGACCCAACTGAAACTCTAGATTTCCACTGAGGATTTTCTCTTATTGCCGGAATTGGAGAGGGAGCCACGAAAGATTTATTCTGTATCAAAACCTTTGCTTAAAATATTCCTAATTCCTAAGACTTAATTCATGTAACATTTTTCATAGAAACTGAACTTTTGAAAGTGCAGTAATTACAGTAATTACTTCTGTGTGGCATTTCCTTTTTTTTTTTTTTTTTAAATAAAATAAGTTTATGGAAGTAGCCAGAAACACACCATTCAAATGACAGCTCCATAAAAATTTCATTGGTAAACAGCCACATAGCCAACTGGATATGAATATACTTTTAATCATTTCCCCACCATTCTTTCTTATTTTGATGTTTGAAATGGAATAAAACATACACACCCCCCCCAAAAAAAATCATGCTTACTAAAATATTTTTTTCCTGCAAACCAAGGCATGGAATTCGTAAACTGATTCATATTAGGGTAAAATATTTGTCCTTATATTTGCCCTTCTACTGATTTGTCAGATATTTAGCAGATGATGTACGATTTCAAAAGAAGGCGAAATCGAGATCGTGTCACTTGGGCCTCGGATATCAGAGCCAGCCCTTTGTCTCTGTCTTGCTGATTAACCTGGTTACCTGCCTCATGCCCAAGGAATGCTGTCTTCTACTCTTTACTGAAACAGTTGTCATCACCTTTTTTCTAATTTCTTTACAAATAACTGAAAATACTGAGAAAAGTGAAAAAATGATTTGTTTTATGTTCTAATCAGTCCTACAACTTTGACAATTAACTTTTAACACCATGTGTTTTAAGAAATGTACTTAAAAGATCTGGTGTTGGGTCGGTAAATTTACAATTTTTTATGAACTCATTGAATAGCCTACGTGTTGTTTACCTGTTCTGGAAATTTCATTTGCACAGACCAAAATCTGCACCCTCATCCCAGCCCAGTGCCAACGGAGTCCAGACAGAGATACTAGACTACGACAGATTGAAGCAGGTGAGCACTCAGTGGCAGCTGTCCTTTATTTGTACTTGGAAAAGTATCTCGTGTGCATGTATTTGACAGCTCGTAAATATACTTGAAAAGAATACAGAGTTAAGATATTTTTCTACAAATTAAACAATGGCATTCGTACCATATTATTTTTTTTATCTTCATTTTTTTGGTTCAGTGGGTTTGCATACAGTTCCAGCAGTGATGGTGGGTGGGGTAATGGTTTAATGGTATGGTATAAACTTGAAATGTAAGTGCATGGTGCACAGTTGTTAGAATTTGCGGGGTGGGGTTCCCACTGTTCACTGACATTGGCAAAAATAGACCCAGTAAATCTGGTTTTAGAAAGAATGTGAGGAAAATGGGCACTCTTGTATACTTCTGCTTTCTAGGAAACAGTTTGGGAAAACAAATCAAAAACTTTAAAAATAACTGTCTTACCTTTGAACCCAGCAATTTCACTTCTAAGCTTAAGCTAAGAAAATATTGGAGAAGTATATCAGCATACAGCATAGGGGCAGCTCTGCAGCATTAAGGAATCGTAATTGAGAATATTTAACAATGGATTGTGAACACTTGCCCGTGTTAGGAGAAACGGACAGGTGGCCAAGCAATATGAACAGTTATATCAACTCTACCAAAAAGAAAACAATATGGTTCATGTTTTGGATACATACGTAGTATATGTAGTACTGTGTACTCAAAAAAAAAAGTGGAAGGAGTGATAGGTGATGAGATTATGGAGCTTTAAAATAGTTTATTCCTAGAAGAGGTAAAATAATTTTTAAAAAAGATTAGTGGAAAGCGAGTGTCAGTTTCGCACACCTGAGTGCAGATGGCCCCGAAGTGGAGAATCTGATCTTCGTCTCCTTGGCCCGGGCTGCAGGGGAGCCTCTGGGGCTAATGGCGAGGCCAATCGCCGCAATAGCGTTGACTGACTTCCTGGTTGACATGGTGCTGGGTGTTTGCTGGGTTCTCAGCGTGACCTTGTCTCCTAGTCCTCGTAGTAATCTCTCATGCAGTGTTTACGTGCAGATTCTGCACATCTGAGGCTCAGAGAAGTTAAAATCTACTCGGTCCCACAGCTAAGTACATAGTTGAGTCAGGATTAGAACCCAAGTATTTTTTCCAAGGCCATTTTCCCCATTCTCTCACTCATTTTTTAAAATGCTAGCAGATGTTTGGGGATCCAAAAGGGACCGATAATGTTGCAATAATATGAGTTTGAAATAAACGTTAAATAGGAATTAAAGAGAAATACTACAAATTTCATGTCAACCTAATTTCTGTACTGCAAAGCTATTTGAAAAGTTAAATTGGGTTATGTAATTTGAAAGGGAAGCCTATATGCGGCCACAGGTAATGAAGCCTTTGTTTTCCTGTGTATTCGATATGCTTTCTTGAAAACCGTTTTAAAATAGAGCACGTACACATACTTTAAAATACGGAAGAACCTTGGTTATCCAAAGTAGCAGAGCAGAAGAGAGGATGTAATTTGAATAAGCATATCCGTGAGTTCGTATAATAACTTTTGTGCCTCTGCTTCCTCATTAGTAAAATGGAGGAATTAAACTAATGGATCGTTTCCAACCTTATTTTAAACATGAGAAAAGCGTTTTAAAAAAATAAACCTTAAACAGAGCAATTGAATTTTACCCGAGATGTGTGCAGTTAATAAAGAAAGGCTCCTAACTCAAAAGCGATCCTCTCCAAGGGTAGCTGTTATTGTTCACCCTTAAAATTGTGTCACCTTGTCATGGCCCTTTTAGTTCTTGATGATTCTTTAACTTGGGGAGGGGGGGTGAACTTAATTGGACTTAATAAATAGAGATTCTGCAAAATATAGAAAGATGGAGTGGTTTTCATGGAGGCGAGAGGATCCAGAGCATCACTATTAAAAAGAAATAGAACATGGGCCACATAAGTACTTAAAATTCCTAGTAGCCTTGTTAAATAAGTACAGAGAAACAGGTGAAATATCAAAATAACATTTCAATAGGTAATCGATATTTTAAAAGTACTAATGAGTTACTGTACATTATTTTCTTAGTACTAAGTTTTTGGGATCCGGTTGATGTGTTACACTTACGCATCGCATTTCAGACCGGGCACGTTGCTGGTGCTCAGTAGCTGCATGTGGCCGGTGCCTGCCAAATGGGATAGGACGGGTCCCAAGGGGTCCCATCCACCTCCATTTCCACAGTAGGGGGCAGCCTTGGAGGGACCTCCGGGGAATTCCTTGAAATGTAGTGGCAGTTGCTATGGCTCCTAAGGAATCCCTTCAAACCAGAAGAGCCGACTGTCTAGTTTATCTCTCTTCTTCCTTGAAACGTTGTAGGCGTCACTCCTCAGACCGCTCCTAGAAGTCGAGATTGAAAGCAGAGCCATTGTTTTTTTCTAAAAATTATCTGATTCATACCTTTCACTGGACGACGGAATAACCATTTTAGTCTTAGAAAGCATTCTGTTTCAGATCTTGCTAGGCTAGAATAAACAAAACTTGGGAAGGGAAAACTTTTAAAAACAAAATTTACCGAGATTAGGCTTCTAAGACATACGTCGTGACTCCGGAAACAAAAACCATATGTCACGTGTCATACATTCTTAACATTTTGTATTAGCGGGAATCTTTTTAGTAGTAAGTTTTTTCTGTATTCCTGATGTTTTTCTCTTATTTTAGGACATTTTAGATGAAATGAGAAAAGAATTAACAAAGCTAAAAGAAGAGCTCATTGACGGTGAGTGTCCAAACAGATTTGCTGCTCCTATAGAGTAATGTTTAAGAATGGCCATTTTTAAGAGAATGCAAATAAAGAAAGATGCAGTTTATTACTTGAGGGCATAAAACACTTATCCTTTGCTTGGCTTACGATGCGTGGGAGGACTCTCGTTCCTTCATATAATGGAAATTACTGGTAAAAGTAGGGATAAACGAGATCCGTAAGTTTCAGGTGTCGAGTAGTAATTGATGGAGAACTAGGTGAGCAAGTCTTTCTTTAGGTGACCTCTCCTCATCCATCCATCCCACTGCCCTCTTGTGAGCCCACAGAAACAGTGTTTTCATTTGGTATACAAAAAGGAGAGAATAAATGAATATATGCATATGAAAATTAGCATCATCTTTGTAATAAGGAGACAAAGATCTCTGCAGTGAAAGATGCAAGATCAGAGTAGCTTTTTATTCCTGTGAGTTTGAACACAGTCATTGAAATTTCTTAAGATCGAATCACTCATTTATTTTATCTTATTGTATTTACTTTCAACACTTTTCCTTTTCTTCTCCAGCAATCAGGCAGGAACTGAGCAAGTCAAATAGTGCATAGAGAAACAAACTAAGGAGAGATAGGACTTTAATCTGGAGAAAGAAAGAATAAAAAACATCTACAAACAACAACTGTTAACAACAAACCCCTACATTTTGTGAGCTGCGTAAGAAGATGGAGACAAACATTCGGAAGGAGGGAAAACCCAACGCACGTTAAAAGCCTTCAGACCTTGTCACTCTGGCGATAAGCTGTTTCCGTCCCAGTTTCAGGATGGAAGTGAGTCCTATAAGCGTTCCTGTCACAGTGATGCAGAAAATCCTGGACCCGTCAGGCAAGACCACAGTGCATTGAAATATTTTCATGTCAAGATGAAATCGCACGTTTCCCACAATCCATTGCTAAAATAAAGAGGAGAAAGGCTTAAGAAGTTTTTTTTTTTTTTTTTTTTTCCAGAGAGTGCTGATGAATTCAGCAAGTTACGCTATTGTATTGTAAACGTTTCTCTCAGGTTTGTCTTCCTATCATATTATTCCACGAATATTGAGATCAGCCCTATGCAGGTTAAGATCATCAGCTGTGGAACAAATGGAATTCTATGTGCTTTCAAAGAGTGATATTTATGAGAAAGTGTCTTAAAAAGGGTTTGTCCAGCTTGAGGAATTTTAGAATGATAGGAAGTCTCTCGAGTTCGCCTTCATGCAATTTTGTAGATTAAAACATAAAATTCGTCCAGAATTTAAAGATTTAGATGCCTTCCTAAATTGTTACAATGCTTTACCAAATCTATGACTCCTACATCACACAAACCAGTGGTCAAATGTAAAACAGTATATTGTAGACTTACTGTAGGTTTTCAACCTTTTTTAGATTTATGCATGTGGACATTTTTATAATGTAATTACAACTACCACAGAAGTAGCTTTTTTAACTGCAGACAGTAATGCATGTCACAGTAATACGTAGTGGCCTTTTCAAGGCCTAGTCCCAGGGAAATAATTTTGTAACGTATAGGGGAGTGGGTGGAAGGGAAGGAATAATTTTTTATTTAAAGTTATTTACTGCACTATCATTTTTCTCAATTACCTGCATGAAAAATAATGAGGACTCTTTTGTGACTTTAATTGGTAAATATGTTAACAGAACCAACTACTTAATCTTCGACGTCATGTCGTCAGCTATTTGTATTTGAACTTTAGTAATTTCAGTGGTCTGAAACATGATTCTGAGCTTCACATGAATTGTAGCTTCCTGTGGAACTCAAAAGTCCGATCCCTGAATTTGGCTGTTACCTAGGTGCCCTGCTTACACAAGTGTTCAGGTACATGCTCCTGACTACAAAGCTGCTTTTGAACTTAGTTCTGTTGAATTACAGGAAGTAGCAGTGATCAGCAGTTAAGGTCACAGAAATCATTATAAGGGGAAACCCATGGTGGGGTTCTGCCTAGTTTTCTTTTAATGAATAAAGTGAGACTTAGGTGGTGGGAACAAGGAATTTGATGCTCTACTTATTATTGTGTATGTGTGTGCGTGTTTGTGCACACACACGTGTGTATGTAATCCACTCTTTTCTTTGAAATTTGTTAAGGTTAAAACAGGAGAAATCCTTTATGTCGCAATGATAGATTTTTGGGGGGAAAATTTAGGAAATCGAAAATTCTCCCAGCTCTCCATCTTGACTTATGCTTGAGTTGTTATGTGCCATATTTGCTTTGAAACCTTTGATTATCAGAAGTTTTACTGAAATTTTGAAGAAATAATCCATTTTCATCTGCTCTCTAGATTTCTTACATCTCAGTTCGTAAAGACAGCTTGTTGATAGCATAGTTTTCTAAATGCTGCAAATTTGTAGCTATTAACCACTTCAGAGAGGTCTGAATGAGGGAATTTTTTTTCCTTGTTAAAATAGTTCCTGTTTCTGTAGAAACTTCATTTTTAGATTACTCTGTGATGGATGAGCTATCATAATTCAAGTATATAGTTCTTTTTTCTATCAACTATTTGTCATGCAAAGTAGTAAAGGCATTAAAGCTGCAACAAGCTTATAAAGTACTGTTTTCTAAAAGAAATAGGAGGCATTTTCATCTTTATTATTGTACTTTAGGTTATGTAAACACTTCGGTGATATAAACGTTTATGTCCCCTATAAATCTGGTCAGAAATAACTTTTTGATTTTGTTAGTTAAGTTAAATAGTCTATAGTAGGATAGAGTACTCTGGGTACAAGTGGTCCAAAGTAAGATAAGAGACTACAATAAAATGCTAGATCTTGAAAAAAAAAAAAAAAAACTGGTTTATGCACTAAACGTTTTGTGCCTTGGTCTTCTATTAACATGATGTCTGTGTAAAATGACAGAAGGAACCAGTGTTGAATCATGTTATATTTTCCATCATTTTGCATTATCCCAGATTACTAAATGTGTTCTTTCCGAGAAGTTTGATTGAATTACTGTATACATTTACTGTCGTACGTGACAGTTTTGTCATTGTTAGAGATTTCAGTAATTAAAACGGGCAACAGAAGCTTAAGTTATTTTCCTTATCAGAACTATGCTGGAGCCACGTTATTAGGATGGTTTTCGTGCTGTCGTACATTGGATGTCTTAAGCAGTTAAGGGGACCCTTTGCAACGACAGGAAGGTAATTCTTTCCTCAACACTGTGATATGACCTGTGACAAATCTGTACTATACACTATGTAAATGGCTAACAAGTCAATTGCAAACCAACTGAATGTACAAATCTTAGTGCTGGTGCTGGAATCTCTTCAGAATAGTCATCCTGATTTCAAAGTTAGTTTCGAAATTTGCAGATATCAAGTGTCAATCAAAACTGAAGATGAAACCCTAATGAATGTTGACTCGTCATGCTTTAGGTGTACTTCCTTTTTAGAGTTTTCCATTCTCTGCTATTTTTACCATACTGTTTCATTTAAATTTCCTACACGCTAACTTCGTTTGTGCGATTGAAATAAAATTGCAGTATATACATGTTGCTTGTTTGTGACACTTAGATAATCTTCTTAAATAATCTGTTGGTTCTAAAATAAGTTATATGGAATGTGAAAAAAACACTTCAAAGTCCGTGGCTTCACGACTTAAAGTTTACACATCGTCACCATTCCTAAAGATTTCATAAAAGTCATGAGTGCTAAGTAATGTATACAAAGGGAATAAGTGTAATGTATCTCCTTTTTGTCTGAAATAACTGTTGGCTGTTTCCTGTTTGTTCTTATTTTCTCACAGCCCTGCTTGACACCGTGTTCTTGCTCTTACAGTCAAGAGAACGATCGATGTTTGAGTTTATTCCGCTTTGTCCTACAACATAGTCAGATACTTAAACTCATTTCGCAGTTAAAATTTTCCCGCATACAGGGTTCAGGGCAAAGGACGTTGTGTGGTAAAAGGGCCTTATCAAGTACCGGACGTTAAACATGGTGAGTCCGTGAACTCTCGTGTTCGTTTAAACGTTATGCCATCATCTCGACACCTGCAGAGCAGTACTTGTTACTGACGCTTATGAAGTGCTGATTTTGAATTCCATTTTAAACTTCTAATGTTTTCGTTAGAAATACAACAATCCTTGTCTTTTTTTTTTTTTCTTTTTTCTTTTACCGGACAGCAATCATCTTTTCCACTTCCCATGGAATGCAGATTTATTCGTCGATATTCGCAGCCATTACACAGCCCACAGTTCTAAAAATATCAACTGATTTTTCTCTCCATCCTGTCTCCGGTTCTTGATTCCCTTTATGTATCAATCACAATATTTGTCTACAGACTAAAAGTCACTTCCCATTCAAGAATGAGTTAAGTAGCAGATGGTATCCCTTTAAATCTGCCTAGCAACAACTTTGATAAGCTTCCTAAATTCCTATATCCTTTCAGCGCCATTGTGAGGGACCGGCCTTTAAATTCTAAGTAATATGGTCCTGTGAAGCACGGTTTACAAAGATAAGCTACCAGATCTCTGTGATTCCTTTTCGTAGCCATCGTAACTTTATAACCCTTTTAGCTTTAAATTCTAATGATTAAAAGCATAAAAATGACATCACATAAAGCATGGTGAGTGAAAGAACTCTCTAGGAGCTCCTAATTCCTTTATGTAGCTATTATAAAACCCACTTACTTAAAGACATTTACTCCAGCGTTCACTTCAAAACTCTGGACCTGATCCTAGTAGTACCGTTTTTTTTTGGTGGTTTTTTGTTTGTTTGCTTTTTTAATAGATGGATTTGTGTCTGTCTCTCTCCTCAAAGCTCTAAGAATATGTGAAAGGTAACTCAAGCATATTGCGACTAGCGATGCATAATACCTCTGACTTTTCACTGAAAAGCCATTTAATATTTACACTTATGTGTTTTTGAAGTCGAAACTTGAAGTATGTGTAAGGAAACTTGGCGGGTGTTCTGGCACCTTCGGCCACATAATGACATTCACTTTTAAGAATAGTTTTCCCCGAGTATGAGCACATTTGAGAAGCTAAAGTTTGTAGCTCCCCAAGAAAGGCCATTTACACGAGTCAGTACTGCTAGGAGTCCACGTTGAAGGTTGTCTGTGTACCCAACATCCAAACAGGCGGTGGATTTGGTTCCCTATGTTGTCATTAGATCATTTTTCAGAATCAAGAGATTGCTATATCTTTATAATACTGGAAGTGAAACCTTCAAATTACAAGTCTAAAGCTGATTAGAAAACTATTAATACAGTAAATTGAGGATGATTACGGATATTCAGCATCAATAAAAGTGGCATTGTAGGATAAATCCTTTGTTGCACACCAATGGTAAATTCTCATAAGAGGCAAATTGGGTCTTTCGGTAAGATGTTACATTTGAAAACTGCTTAGGTATGAACTATGTAATTTGTCTTTCTAAATAGTTTTTCTTTATAGGGTAATAATAGTCCTTGTGAGAGGGTAAATGAATGACTTGGTCATAATAACTTAGGATGTTAAAAGAAATACTGCCACACTTACTGGTTATTTCTGTTAAATCTGAAGAAATCGATGTATGTGGAGACCTAGAAAGCGAAGTGGCTTCCGTCATTATAGATGTTGTCTGTTGCACATAAACTCTAAACTGAACTGTTAGTGTCGTTTAAGGCGTGTAGCAGGCCTCAAATACCTGCTGAGTAATTTAACACAGGATAAAGCCGAAACTTAAGTGAAGTGTTTGAGCCAAGAGATCGTAGTTCCTGTGTACCCCACTTCTATGAAGCGTTTTAAATACTCAGAGGAACAGCACAGAGCGGTCCTTCTGGAAGCTTCTGGTGCAGGACCTTGGGATTCCCAGGGGAGGCCGGAAATCGGGGCTGTCGGTAGGTGGCTGATAGTAGAGAGGAAACGCTCTGAAAAGGCTCTTCTTTATCTCATTTGATAAAGGCATATAACCCCTAGTGTTTAGAACACTCAGATACACCAGTGAACTAATCACCAAATTCAAACTTTTCTCACCCAAAATTAAGTTCTGAGAAAATACAGCTTTTCATTTTAATAAAGGTTATTAGGAAAGCTTATGTATTTCATTAGAGACTATATTTGCATTTGTTTCATTAAAAAGTCTGTATACAGATGACAGCCTCAGGGTTTGTCGTGTAAATTTGATTTTTTCCCCCCCTTTTCAGGAATGATTTCTTTAGTACCAGGGTAACTATTAAAACATAGAGAAGAAATCACTGCTTAAGCTGGTGAGTAACGTGAGTTGGTTTGGTTTTTACTAAATGGTGGTTCTTTCAAGAAGGCTTAGAATATGTAGAAAAGCATGCAGTTGGTCCTTTGGATGACACGGGAAAAGGCACTTAGAAGAAGAAAAGAAATGTACATTTATCGATGTTTACGCTGAACGATATTTAATTCTCCCATCAGGTCCAAAAGCTTCCATTTAAATCTGTAGAAATTGAGAAAACAGATCCTTGGTTACATTTAACTATATACACTGTTGTAATCGTATGAAAATGTACCACAGAGGCTTTTAAAACTGGCTCTTAAAAGTTCTAACATTCTGTGTCCTTAGTCACATCCATGGGACTTCCTAAGTTACTTTTTTTTTAAAGACTAAAGGCCTTTTTGAAAATGTTTTGAATTGGCTTCATTTAAATTTTAGGGTTTTCGTTGTCACCACCAGGTTGAACTCGGGCATGAACTTGGCTTGTCCTACCTGCTGTGGCATTAGTTCAGTGCTTCCGAGTTTCCCTGGACCCTCGGACGCGGGCTCGAGTCTGAGGTTGGTTTGCCCTTGGCGGTGGGCTAGCTCGGTATGTCATTAATTGCAAGCCCCATCTGACGGCCATGAGCTGCAAGGCCACCACCAGCTGGTAAACCACTCCTGAGTGGAACGTAAGACCTTAGCCAGTTCCTCCGAACAGCCACGGAACGTGGGGCGGTAGCACTGACTTTGACCCTAAAATTTCCAGGAAGGAGAGTATCCTGAGAAAAGTGCTGGGAGCGTTTAGATACTCGGAAGGGTCATTAAACTCGGGATCCTTTCATTTTCATTAGCCAGGGCGTGGGAGATTCAGGCCTGAGCCAGGAATTCACAACTGGATTCCCGTAGGTACCTCATCATTTTAAGTGTCAATTCCAGAAATTGAATTGAATTGAATTTTGGAGCATAGTTTTGTGTCCTCACATTGTTAAAAATGTTCCTGCTTAATCCACCGTGTGCCCTTAGCTCCACTACCCTTCGCTGTCCTCGCTCCGGTCACGGGACTGGACGGGCTTCACCAGTCGCCAGACCGGAGAGCTGGTCAGTTGTCCTCCGGGTCCTTGTCTCTGAGGTCCTTCTACCTCTGACACTGAGTCCTGTGGTTCCTCATTCGGCATGTCCTCCGTGACGACTGGTTGGTTTAGTTAGTGTTTGGTCCAAGAGAAGGGAAAATAGTCCTGAGTTTTGCTCTCTGGTCTTAGTTATTTTAAAATCTTAGACGCCTTTCACTGAAAAAGTACATCCCAAGTGTGAACGCTAAAAGGTCAGCGGAGTGGTGATTTAGAGGCCGTCAGTGACGCAGTGGGAGGTCGTGACCTCTCGCGCCGAGGCACCGCTTTCTGCATCGTCCGTGAGCTGTCACAGACGGCGTGGCGGTCTGCCCACGGGCCTCTCCGGTAGCCTCTCCCCTGTCTGCTGCCCTTGACTCAGAAGCACATTCTGCCACTCAGACCACAAGGAACCGTGGGATGGGATCACCTGAGGCCTGAGACCCATGTTCCAATTCTGGAGGACAAGCGACAGGCAGCCCTCCAGACTTTCTGGTCCCGGAGCTGCTTTTAACTGAACAGACCCCCGAGAGCTGGGCAGAGTGAGGCAGCCTTAGTTTTCCTGGCGAGGAAGACACTTGAGCGGTTTTCATATCCTCCGAACCTGCTACTGCTGTTTATTTTATCGCTGTCATCCTCGAGAGGGGACAAAAGACAGTGAGCCTCCTCTCTCTGCCCTTCTTATTATATATAGTATAGGAGTCGTCATTCCCAGGTCCTTATTCAGATCCAAAGACTGTCACAGCAACTTCTTGACAAACCAGGTGACCCTTCCATGCCATTTAAGTGACTTGCTCTGAGTCCTTGCTTGATCTTAAGACACATAGAATTGGCACAGATTCCGAGGCTGAACTGGAAGGTTTGAGATTATAAAAGATGAGTTGTGTTTTATGGATGTTGTTTTACTCCCGTTCCCGGTAGCTCTGTGTGTGTGTGTGTGTGTGTGTGTGTGTGTGTGTGTGTGTGTGTGTGTGTGAGAATTCACTTTTTGTGAACAACAGGCAAGCCTTTCATTATGTGTGTGTGTGTGTTCTTTTTTGGGAAAATGAAGTGTTTCTAACAAAAGTGGGCCAGAAAGAGAATTCTATCTTCAGACATCTCTAGTTGATGCAACATAGGATATTCAAGTATAGTATTTACACATTTTCATAGAAATTCTTTTTTTGGTTTGCTTGATAAGACCGAGGAAGCCTTCTGCAGTTTAATTATGGCAGCGCACTCGAGTCTCGAGTCCGTA